TATCTGGTTTGCTGCGTCACAGTTGACACATGATCACTCAATGGCAAGTTCATTGCATACATAGACTGATAATCTGACTGAATTAACCAATCAGAAGTGATGTATGCATCTGGCCAACATCACAAAAGCTGCAGGAGTTGTTGCTAAAAACAGTCAACTTAAAGCTGCACTGTGGAGTTTTTTTCATGTAAACAAACAAAAATTATATTTATTTTTCAAGTTTTGTTTTTTCCTCAAATCCTGCATTGTTTACATGCTGACTTGCTGGCACTCTTTTGCCTGCCTTTGTTGATGCATTGCTATGATTCTTGACACTGCCACCAAGTGTTGATAAGTGGAACAGCATGAAACCAGCAGTCCAAACTAAACAAGCCCCAATAACCCAAAAATATAACAGAAGACTAAGAAAACTAGCCAATAATATATGTGAATGTTGTGTTGCAATTCACATAAATTTCAGAAACGAGGCAAAGAATTAGGCAAAATAGCTTCATAAACAAAACACTGAATGCTTTGTCAATTTTGTTGCACAAACATAACAAAGTTACAGTGCAGCTTTAATATTGACAAACCCAACATTCAATGTCTGAGCTTATCAGTTGAAATAGAAAGAGAAAGCAGAGATTTTAGGCCAGATTAAGTCTGTAGACATAATAAAACCCATGCAGTCTTCTGACCAGGCCACTGATCCTTGACTGGTACTCCTCAGTACTATTTATAGACGCTCCATGTGCACAAGCTGTGGTCTGTTCCACCTGATTAACCCCTGGACACATAACAAAAGTCAACGTCTGGTATTTGTTAACATACCATGGCAACACCCCATCGCCACCAGACATGTATGACACTGTTGTATCCCGGGCCACAGCGCCTTTAAAATGTTATTTTGTGCATTAACTTGCGTGTTAAAAAAACAGAAGAACTGTCCCTTCTGGTTGCCGTGATCGCACCGTCAAGATTATTTAGCACTCTGAGGATGTCTGTAGCATATTTGCTTTGTGCAGGCATATGTACTGGAGCTTTTCTCACTTCTATGTGATGGCTTGTTTTCTGTAGATGTGAGACTTTGTGTTGTGTTCAGATCGCCTGCTCAGACAGGAATCACCCGGTTGCTATGGCATCATGTAGCGACAATTCCCACAGAATGAATTAAACTGTAAAAAGAAAACTCATGACCTTGATTTCTAATAGCAGCCCAAACTGTGAGCAGCCGGTGGGTAGAAAAAAAACAAAGGGGGGGAGCAAAGAAAAAGCAGTGTTGTCAATGCACTTGCTGTTTTATAGAGATCACACAGTTCACAGTACACTAGGAGTAGAACCGATGGTAAGGTTTAAGGTATTAGAAGCAGATAGTTATTCATTTACCTAGTTTGGCGCTTAAATCTAATGAACGGGAGAAAAGAGAAAGTCTAGACGAGCACTAGACCAGAGGAGGTAGCTTGAAATAGATGGGAGCAACTCGTCTCTATGGAAACCACAGGCAAAAACAGTGGCACACTCTGCCATGAAAGACATGTGGGAGATGAGGATGAAAGAGACAGAGAGAGGAGAGAGGGAGAAAGGGAGAGAAAGGGACGGAGGAGGGGGGGGAGACGCGGCATGAAGAGAAAGAGGGAGAGGATGAGAGGGAACAACGGCGAGCTTACGAGAATGATGTGTGTGTCACAGCAGTAGATATCGATGCCCCCAGTGGGCATTAATGTCACTGGGTTCATCTCTCTTTGAAAGAATTGATTTCATTCCACCAAGCGAACACAATATTCTCCTTTAAGACGCCGTGGGGAGTAATTTCTCAAACAATGGTGCTGATGACACAATGAGACACAATTAAAAGTTATCCCCCCAATTAGAATAGTTATTTGCCAGTGTGACAGGTAATTATTGATGCCGATACCAGCCCCTTTTACCATTTTTACAACTATATTTTAGAAAAGGGTTGGTTACCTCCCAAAGAAGGCACAGCGGTCCTGTACGAGCAGCTGTCAGGCGATTGGCAGCGCTTTCCCAACCCAGCTATTACACATTTCAGTTCACCGCAGTGGTCAAGCTAATGTAAACGTTCCAGCCTCAATTCCATCATTCATCACCGTCATTAAGAGACAAGTGGACTGATGAGGGCTTTACCTCTCCAGAGGCCGATTAATGACCACACTCTGTACATAGGTCAGGACGTAACTGTCAGCAACATCGGAGTGCCAAACAAATCTCGGCTCTAAATTACATGTTGTGTCTCTATCACAAGTGTCAAGCATGGAGGCCAACTTCGGCCAGGAAAAGAATAAAATTGGTGAAAAGTTATGCAAGATGAAAGTAGTTGTAATTAAAAATGCTCATAGAAAGTTACAATTATGAGCTTTGACTCACTTTCTTATGGTTTTGATTAAGTATCTCATTGTTTTGACTTATGCTGGGTTTAAATTACACCATATCAGCCCGATAACAGCGCGACAATTGATTCATTTTTTAGTTTGATTTTATTTTGAAATTTGAAGCTGAGTGAGGCTAGCAACATAAGAATCAATGCTGCGAACAGGCTGATTATTGCTGACAAAATCATGGCAAACCTCAATCAGAAGCTAGATGAGGCCAACAAGAAACCCTGCAACCATGCTGCGGAGCAATGCAAGAAAGGTCCAACCCAGAGCACAAAGGCATCCTAGACAGACCTGCAACAGGAGCCCACTGAGCAGCCTGAAGAGAAGGCAGAAGCTCCAGCAGGCTCAGAAAGACCTGGAGGGGCAGGCGGCTAAACACGTCCAGGACCAAGCTGTGCTCCAGTGAGGCCCTGAAGGAGAAGATTGCAGTGAAGGCCCAGAATTTGGAGAAGGAGGTTAAGCATACGTTAGCCTCCTACCTCGCACTGCTGGAGCAGCAACACAGTGAGAACAAGAAGATTATGGCTGCACTGGCAGAGAAGGATAAGATCTCCCTTCAGCAGACTCGGCAAAAGAAAGAAGACGGGTGAATTGGCCAGGTTGAATGAGTTCATGATGAAGATGGTGTTGGACAAAAGGAAAAGATGAAATGCTGGCTGGTCAGGTTGTTCACCAGCCCAATGACGGCAGAAGAAAGGACTGCAGAACTCGTCTCAACTTGATTCTATTCTATATTATCAAGCAGTCAAGCAATAAAAAAAAAATATTAAATGTAGTATAAAAGAAAAATGTAGATGTAAAGGTTCAATTCTGTAGAAAATGACAAATGTCACATTCAGTTGAGCTCACATTAAAACAGCTTAACTGAGGTCATGTTGGAGAGAAAATATGCAATTAAAGTGTGTTAATGGTGGTTTTGAGCAGATTTGTACAGATATTTTTCAAATAATGGCACTTTGTGTCAGAGTACATTATGTCCAATACTGAATATATGTTCAATTTTTAAGTATTTGTATCTTAAGTGTCTGTCTAAAAAAAAAAAAAAAAGTTTTTTATTTAACTAGTCCACTACATTTCAGAATAAAATATTGCATTCTTCCACTTCACTGCATACATTTCATGACTACAATTACTGTTTATTTCACAGAATCAGATTTCACATTTTTAATATATGATGGGTTCTTTGAATTTGATGTGCTGCAAAGAGAAACAGGGTTATTGGCTCTCAGTATATTTCTTCTGATAATCAGTGGGGGAAAAAAGAGACTCAGTCATATCTTCAATCATGTGCAATAACAAGTGTTCAGACTATTTTTCTTTCTAACCGTGAATCAAATAAAAAGATATATGATAAAGTTCAGATGCCATCAAAACAAATAAACACTGTATTGTATGTGTTCAATAAAAGTCAAGGCATTTTATTTATTTATGTGTTGCAGACATCCTTCCCACTGTATTAATAATAGTAGATAATGGTCTTGTCTACTATTTGCTAGAGCTGACTAAATCCCTTCAAAATAAAGTATTCTGAAATTGTATGTAAGAATTGGGTAGCTCAAGGCTGATGGTATTAATACAGATTCAAAGCCAAAATGTGTGCATATAAGAAAATATTCATCTTTCAGTTTGTTTTTTGTTAAATGTTTTATTTCTTGGGTTTCACACATTTCTCTTGACCATAAAAAATGTGTAATCCATCACAAATATATACAGACATACCTTGTCAATCATTACATAAATATGTAAAGACATACATATTCATTTAAATGTCAAGGATAAACAGCATAAAAAGGATACGGGGAAACATTTTCCTTTCATTTTAATGGAGATAAATGTGCAGATTGCTAAGAGTGCCTTTTTATTACAATGGACTTCTGAACCGTTTGGTTAAAAAATAAAAGTAAAAAAGAATAAATAAAATTTTCATTGCTTTTTTTTTTATTAAAGAGTACAATGTCTCACCTGGGTCTCATGTTCAAGAGACCAGAAAAAGATTAGCCTCTGTTTTCATACAAAACCTGTGTCCGAGGTCTTGAAAATAATAATTAGTCACTCAGATTGTGAAGCAATTTTAAGAACAATAACCCAACTGTATGGTAATGTTACTTGAAGATGTGTTTTTAGCTGAAAAAACAATAATACCAAGGTTAAGAGAAATGGCTGCCCCCAATTTTGCTCTTGAAGTCATAGATGATTATATGAGCAGATAGACAATATTATTTTTACTGCATGCTTGCTGGATTATGGCTGCACTACTTGAGCCACTTCAGAGACAGGTCATGTTTGAGTCATGAGGCACCTCCTCAGGATTTGCCTCATAATTTTGACTTGTATTAACTCTCAAATCAATTTCGGACACACATTTTTATCACATTTAGGATTGTAGAGATTGTCTCTGCTTCACCACAATACAAAACAAATCCCCACTACAGCTGTTTAACAGAAGACAGGATTGATGCAAGAATGGGGACATCTACCCAGAATACCCCATATGCATTATTAATAGTGATTAATAAACCTCTGCCCACATGTTATATAATCACTGACTTCTGCCTGGGTCACCCCGATGCTGACCAGCTATTCATCATTGCTCCTGCATTCCTAACACACGCATTCTCTGCCTAGGTATCACCACAGTGCTGACCATGACCACCCTGAGCACAGTGGCCAGGAACTCGCTACCTAGAGTGTCCTACGTGACGGCCATGGACCTGTTTGTCACCGTCTGCTTCCTATTCGTCTTTGCCGCCATGATCGAGTACGCCATGCTCAACTACTACTCCTACAGTGTACGAAGACCTCCTCCCAAGACACAGAGAATGGTAAGCCCGTGGTGAATGTGTGAGTAAACAGGCTGGTACTGTATATGATCTCTGGCTTTGACTTTGACTTGAGACTCAAAACAACCACAAAGAGACTCAAAACAACCACAAAGAGATTCAAAACAACCACAGAGAGACTCACAACAACCACAAAGAGACTCAAAACAACCAAAAAAATATTCAAATGACTACAAAAAGGCACAAACTGAGACACAAAAACAACAACAAAGACACACAAATAAAGCCTATAGTCTGTCACTCTGGGTTTCTTGTTCCTATGCAAGAGGGGTGCTGGGCTTTTTTTCATGCCCAGGGACCAATTATCTCATAATCCATCCATGTATATCACAACTTTATTAATAATGATAATTTGAAACCGGCATGCAAAATATAATAAATCCTGTTACTGAGGCAATTTCTTGAGCAGACAAAAGTCAAAACCTTGCAGATAAATATCTCATTAGTTTAAGGATACTAGGTTCACGGGTGCCATGGCAACATTTGAGGCTGTCAAGACCCCCGGGCATCCATGGGATCGCTACCAATGATTGTGATATAGCTGTCTGGACAAAGAAAAATTAAAGATACAAAGGAACTAATGCATGAAATCCTGGGTATAGTCACTATTGTGATGAGCCAATCTAAAGTGAGTGTGTGCGTGCTGATGTGTGTTGTTCAGGTTTTTACCTGGTGTCATAGAATGATCTAAGGGTTGCTTCAAAGGCTTTAAAACCCACTGAAATTCTTGTAATCTTTTCAGTGAAAATTACATAACATAGAAAAAAAAGCATTTGAATGCTGGCTATTTGCGACGTCAGTCTAATAACACCCTTCAGAAACTCATATTGATGGTATCCATAGGGTGCCAACATATACAAGCATATAAAATGCACAATGTCTTCCCAGGCGTCTGACATGTGTGTGTTTTTTGAGCGTGTGTGCGGTTAAAAAACATTTATTTTCCAGCAAGAGAGCCTAATGCTCTGTGTGGGCATTCTCAAGGCTGCACCTGCCGCGAATACTTTAATGGCATCAGCACACATCTACGAAGACTGAGTCAGCCACCGCTGCTGTCATTTCCCTCTCTCCAGATCCCCTCCTTCTTCATTATTCCCTCCCAGTGTAGAGGAGTTCTGCTGAATGTGTCTCAGAGCTGAAAAGACTGTCAGCTCGGGCCGAACAATTAAGTTGTGTTACAGTCAGTCCCCTCCTCTGCATTTCTGGCTCTCTGCTGTATTTTGGCCCGATGTGTCTGTCTGTGGGGAAGCCTCATGTTTCCCTCCCTCCCCCCCCCATCCGTGTGGCCCCTTTGTGCCACCCACTCAGTCAATTCTGTTACTCCACACGACACTCTCTTTCTCTCCCTCTCTCGCCTCCCACTCTTCCTTTAAGAGCTGAGTAGAGGACTAGAAAAATGTGTGAAGATTTTACCCCAATTAGGTTGTCCCACGCGGTTTCATCAACATCAGGGAGGAAGTCACATAATGACTTTTCTCAGGAGGGACGTATTCAGCATTCCAGTCTAAAGAATCAGGTTATAGCTGCAGTGTGTGACTATAACAAAAATAATGACTAACAATGCTTGTTGTTATATGTTTAAGGTTTTTAAATCCGCCATTTTACTTCAAGTTAAATATGTGTAAACATAAGTATTGACTCAAAAAACTATTTTCAAGAGTAAATTTAAACTTTTTTTTAAAACCCTAGACACGCTAGACAAAAGCATATCGATTCACCAAAGCTTTTTGCATTGCCGGGCCCGTTTGGTCGTTTGGTTTGTTGTATTTTTGATCGTGTAACAATAACTGAACAAATGTAGAGAACGGTACATCACTTTCAGATCTATTGAGCCCATCAATAGTGTAGTTTAATAGTTTTTTCAGCAATCTAAAACATCAATAAATACATGTCAGGGCTTTGTGTCTTTTATAGACTTGCCATTTTGCACTAATGATCAACCACACACACTGTAACCCTCTAGAAGTGTCCCAATTTCAGCACTTCGATGGACCAGACTGATATGCAGCGAAAAGGCATTATGCAGTGTGAGAAAGGCATGCTGCCACCACGATGAACACACCCTCATTTTTATAAACAAGTCTTGCTCTATTGTTATTTTTAGCTATACTTGTTTAAAAAGTAATGGTACTTCTGCTTGAGAGTAATCCACTGAACAAAATTATCTTCTGCACGTCAGTCTTGCATAACATACCGCCACCATCCCCCCGCCCTCCCTCATAGTTAGTGTTGCTACAACTTCCATTTACACTTCCTTATATGCCGTCAGAATTTTTTGTAATTTCTGAAACAATGAGTCCTTGATTTCAGACAGTGGAAGACAAAAGCGGGCTTCTCGTTTCTAGCCCGCTATTGTCAGCTCCGTCGGTTGAAATGACAACTGTTGGCTGGCAGATTTAATCGACTGTAGCGCGCTAATTAAGCTAATGTTACTTCAACCTCCTTTGCTGCGTGCCAAACACATAGTTTATCTGCACTTTTGCACTGTTGTATGTTGTGAAAAGGTGGAAAAAACAGCACCCATATTGAGCATACCCACAGTTGGGCTATGCTATGATTGGACTACCACTGCTCAGGCTTACCAAACGGTCAATTCCTCCACCATAATGTTGTCTTTCTGTCATCCCATACAGACCTACTCATCTTTCAACATGGCTCACACCCCTCGGCCCATGATGCCAATGGGCAACTCCCTGTTCTGGCACGACTACGAAGACAACTGCCTGTACGAGTGCCTGGACGGGAAAGACTGCACAAGCTTCTTCTGCTGCTACGAGGAGTGTAAAGAAGGCGGCTGGAAGAAAGGACGGATCCACGTTAACATCCGCGAGCTGGATTCCTACTCCCGGGTTTTCTTCCCCACATCCTTTTTGCTCTTCAACATAGTCTACTGGGTCAGCTACCTCTACCTCTAGTCGGTCTCGGGGCTGCGATCCGTGAGCCCTGCTGAACCAGCTACAGTCCCCCGCCACTTTGCACCGCGGCTCGTGATTTAGGGTCAAAACTAAGCGTGGAGGAGGAAATGAGGTGGATCTGCTTTTTCGGGAATTATGAAAGACGTGCCGCCTCTTGAGTGGTAAAGTTAAAAAATGTATTAAAAAAAACCACACGTGTGCAGTGGCGCACAATGTAAAGGCCATGATACTTTGAGCAGTGGCACTCCAGGGAGAATAAAAAGCTCAGCAGTGGAACAACAAGCCGCCAGCATTGACTTGAATGGATTGGTCCCGTTTTTTGACTCTCTCAGAAACCAAACAACTACAACTTCAGAGACGTTCTGGGACGGGGGTTGCATTGCTGAATCTTGGTCGTCGAGATGGCGAAGCACCCATAGTGCCTTCTTTAGAAAGGGTGCGGCACAGAGAGACGCAGCTTCAGAGTTCCCTCCATTATCTTTATTACCTCATCCACCACACCGCCGCATGCTGAGCTGTTTATTCTTTGAGGAAACAAACCCGGGACACCACCACTGGAGATGTTTAAAACTAGCACTCACCATTCATTTCGTAGCACATTAGTTTTAGTTGTACTCTAGGATTAGTTCTACTTTCTAATACAGTAACGTTTTCTTATTCTTCTTCTTATTATTAGAGTTAGTTGTGTTTTCACAGCAAGTCAAGCAGCTCACACATCAGCTGTTAGTTGTTGAATATGAGTTAGTGTCAGGGGCAGTGACTGTCTGGTAAAATCTTTATTAAGTCAGTGAGCTTTTGTTCATGATGCTTTATGACCAAGCGATGCAGTTTACAGTAGATGCCAAGAAGATTTTGGGTGTTTACACGGTTACATTCTTTAACACAAAAGATATAAGAACTGCATAAATACATACCAATCTAATGCTAAACATGCTAATCTCATCCCCGAGCTTATTATGTATGTTACAGTAACTGAATAAACAGATTAGGGTTAGAGCAGTGCTGGTTTCTTCCTGACGACAGCTATATGAAAACATTGTCACATTTTATTTCACGCACTTTTATTCTTATTTATATGGAGTTTGGTTTTATCATTGATAGGGCCTTTGGATTACCTTGGTTTAACGGGAAAAGTTTGACATTTTGGGAAAAGGTTATTTGCGAACGTTTTATATTAGAGACGGGCTTTTATTTCTAATTCCCCCTGATCCCGAGTTGATTCATTTCCAAAGTACTAGTTCATCAGTACAGCAAGAGTCAATTACTCTGCCTTATTCTCGAATGTAAAGGGGCCGTGAAACTCGCTTCCTCCAGAATTTTCACATTAAAAGTCTCGCAGCCTTCCTTTCATAGTGAGCTCAAATAGGCTTTTAATGTGAAAAAAGCACAAGGGAGTATTGAGTTTTGTTGACGGTAACTTAACAACGGTCAGGAGTGAGGCAAAGAAGTAATGACATGGGCAATTATTCATTGTCTTGCTGAGAAGACTCTTAAGACTGATTTATAGTTGTACATAGGCTCCATGTCGAGCCTACAGCGTAGCCCACACAAGTGACCTACGCCGTTATGAGCATTTCTACTTGTGCGCTGGTGTGTCAGCGCTGCTCTGCAAATAGCTCTGCCAAAATGTTAATTTGCAGTGGGGTTTCTGTGCCACTGTGTTTTTCGACTGAAACTCTCCTTCGTGTCTCTCCTCAGTCTGTCTCGTAAGGGCGAGGAAATGCGAGGGGACAGACAAGAGCATGTCATGCAGCGAGCTAGCGTCCCCCGTGTGCCCGTTTGTCTGTGTGTGTCAGGACACACTTGTCTAAGAATGAGTGGATTTGAAACAGCATTATTAACTTATCTGGGTTTTGCATGAGACGCTTGCCCATTCTCAGACAATGCACACACACACACACACACACACACAAACACACACTGAGCAGATCAAGCAGTTGTTGGGGTCCACGTCACCACGATGTGTAGTTACACTTCTGGGGAGGTGCACATCAGGCTATGGCATAGGCTAACATAGTATAAATCGAGGTTTACCATTTTGTTTTCATCCTAGTTACGAAGCTATCCCCGGTACAGTTAATGTAGCTTAGCACAAAGACTAGAAACAGTGGAAAAAGCAGCCTGGCTCTGTCCAAAGACAAAATAATCCACCTGCCGGGCCTTCCACGTTTTACCACTTTCTGTGAGGCTTCGTGCTGAGGGCCAGTAACTTCTGCTAGTTGCCTGGCAACTGGCTTTGGCCAAGAAGTAGTTTGGCAACTTGTAACTCAGCAAAAGGTCAATGTTACACTTCTGATTTTGTATAGATTTAAAAAAAAAAAAAAACAAACAAGATATAACGTGATAGCTCTGTAGCTGCTGTCTCCTATGAACAGAGCCTGGCTCGTTTCCCGTTTTTTCCAGTCTTTGTGCTAAGCTAAATTAGCTGGCTGCAGCTTCATATTTACGTAGCAAAATTTCATCAATCACTCTTGGCAAGAAAGTGAGCACCACCTTTCCCAAAATGTAGAACTTTTCCAACGAGTTACTAACCCCAAAGAAATGTCCTCCGCATTGGTTTCAATGAAGAGTTTCAGCTGCGCATGATGTTCTGGTAAACACAAAATCATTTTATGGGCATGAAAATTGCTCAGTTCATATATACAGTATATATTGGATATTGGCACAGAATGAGCTGCAGAATTATTAGTTCTGGCCACAAGCCACTTGAACCCTAAAGCACATACAAACATATACTGTACATGGCCTATTTATTTTGCATTAGTCATTCCATCCAGTTTCAGAGAGCTTGAGTACATAAAATTGGAGGCATGATGAAAGCTTCAATTTTTCTGACATCCTGCCGTATGCAGGACTTAAAGGCACATCCTCCTGTGCCCAGCTGGCAATGATCACAGGTGCTGTAAAATAGGTTCTATATATTGTGATACTCCATCACATACTGTATACAGAGCGGTGTTGAAAAATGGATGATCCAGGAGGGTTGTTGATGACTCTTGACGGAGTCCCACATCCCCTCCTCAAACATGTAAAATTGATGCCATATATGGAGGCATATACGGACTCAAAAAAAACCCCACTGGGACGGACGGTACAGACGGCGTTTGAAACATTTTGGTTTGATTTACTGTTCTATGGTGTTTTTTGCTGTCGTTTGGCTTTGTAGAACAATCAGCCCCCCCTCTTCTCTCCTCCCCCAACACACACACACACACTCTTTTTCCCCGGTATTTGTATGTTCAGAGAAAAGCTTTTATGTAAGATGTATCTAATTAATGTTTCTATTTTCATACAGTTATATATATGGAATGTAAGTTTGGCCAGTAGCGAGGCCGGAGTCAATCTGGTTCCAGTTCAGTCAGTTCAAGCAGCCTAAATGAGTTTATATTTAGGGGTCCTACATATTCATAAGGCCTCCAAACACATTTGTGTCCTGTCCAGAGGTTTGTAATCACAAATCAAATTGCCTCGAGTGATGCTAGAGAAACAGCAGAAGGGCTGTTAGCCTGTGGGCCATTACTTAATCTGCTGATTTAATACATTAGCTCAAAGGAGTGAAATTTCATGAGTATTTCAACACTAGATCTATCTATCCATCTATCCATCTATCTATCTATCTATCTATCTATCTATCTATCTATCTATGAACTGACTGAATTGAACAGAGCTTGGCCCACACCGCAGTAAACTCTCCTCACCTCTGATATTTCTACTACACTTTATAAGTGTCTTAGTCCGTTGAGATACTTCAATAAAACAAAATCACTATTTTCTACGTCTTAATGAAAATCACCTGTGTGTTTCAGCTGACTGGGACCTGTATTTATAAATCAGAGTGCTAACCCAGGATCAGCACCGGCAAGCATAATGAACTCGCTCAAGAGCCTCTTCCGGAGACCTCATCACCCCCATTAAAGTTTCCTGGCTCCCCCGAAAAGCTGCGGCATCATTGCGCCGAGGTGTCAGAAAATCATGTATTACTCCTACTTTGCCCTGCAAACCAATTTTGTTTTGATTGTCAGTGAGGTCTCTGGAGGGCAGGGCTGTACAAAAAAAATAAAGCCACTCTAATCTTGGATCAGCACTCCTGGGGGGGGGGGTATTTTATGAAAACAGGATCTAGAGTGAAAATAGGTATGTTTTTTCTAGTGCGTGGTACATTGCTTATATTAATAAATAACGTTTTGGTCAAGTGCTACTGTGAAGTCTTTTTCTGGGAGAATGAAGGTCACTCTGTCTTATTTACAGGTTCAGGCATGAAGCAACACATCGGAAAGTATCTGGGACGTATGGAAGAAAAGCAACACGGTTATTCCAGGAGAAGTTCAATCATTTGGGGGGGTTTACACTTCTGTCCACAGGTGTATCTAGTGGATATCCTTTGTAATATCCTCCTGTTGGGCTTCAGTGCCAGTCTCTCCTTAGCTCTGATCCGTGTGAATCATTACCAATTTGAACTGGATTTGATATTGAGACTCCTGCCAAAAAGTGGTTAAACAAACGGATCTCCCTCAAAGCCGCTGTTTAATTGCAAATACTGTATGCGTTTGCAATACGATTAAGACAATAATGCAAGAAATAAGGACTGGCTAATTGTTGAATTGTATGCTGCAAGGACTAGAATTTGGTCTGTCAGAGACATATAATTGAGGGGTCAATGAATTCATTTTTTAAGTGGGGTTTGTATGAGGTAGTTATCCATAGTCAGTGTATTACCTACAGCAGATGGTGATCGGCACAGCCCCAGTTTGGAAAAGCAGACATGAGAACCAGTACAGAAGCTAAGCAGCTGTGAACGGGGGCAGCAGAAAAATGTATGCCACGTAAAAAAAAAAATCAATATCAGTTTATGTATACACTACATTTAGAATATTTGCTCTGCTTTATTTTACCATTAGACAGCCCTTTCCGACAAAAGTGAAGCCGTCCTCTCTTCAAAGCTACCAGACTCCTTTGAGAAAAACAATAATTTTACCTCGCAGCACACAGGAGTTGCTGGTCTACAGCAGCGAACGTTCTGATCCCATACCCCCCGTCCACATCCGTTAGCTTCCCTCTGTATTATATATATCTTATTATCCCCCCTAATGCATGTTTTTCATGCAACATGATCAGCAATTAGGTGTCATTCAGCAAGATAGCACTTTGTATTAACTCTGTTTACTCAAGGGACATTGCGGGTGTACAAATCTGGTAAAAAAAAAAAAAAACTGAGTCACTTTCGCTCATGCAACCCTAGGTGGTATCATCTGTAACCTTGAAATGATTACCAAGTTCAGAATTTGCAAACAAAATATTTGGCCGGTACACATTCATTGGTTTCATTAGCCCCCAAAAAAGACCTCTAATGTAATGTTCTCATGGGCAAATTAAGGTCTCCATATACAATGAAATGAGTTACAATTGTCCTCAGGCAACGTCCCTGCCTAAAAACAATGATACGACTAATATCCAGTGACAGATGCATGAGCACGCCATTGCTTTACCCTGAGTTTGTTGACCTAGTTTGAAGCAAGCGACATGAAGAGAGTACAAGGGAGAGGCAGACAAGTAAGTGGAGTCAAAGGGTGGATGTTACAGCGAAACTGGAAGAAGCTCCCGCCACCTATGCGAGGCAAAAGCAGGATGGCACGCTAACACAGTGGATATGGAGAGAAAAGCACTTATGCACTAGAAAATTAAGCTGTCAGTATGTGGTGTGTGTGTGTGTGTGTGTGTGTGTGTGTGTGTGTGTGTGTGTGTGTGTGTGTGTGTGTGTGTGTGTGTGTGTGTGTGTGTGTGTGTGTGTGTGTGTGTGTGTAGATTTAACACAAACTTGCTCATGCCTGTAAAGTGACAGCTTTGCTTGCTTCGAAAATAGACACCCCTTGTGTAGGGAATCAATGTGTGTGTGTGTGTGTGTGTGTGTGTGTGTGTGTGTGTGTGTGTGTGTGTGTGTGTGTGTGTGTGTGTGTGTGTGTGTGTGTGTGTGTGCGTGCGTGCGTGCGTGCGTGCGTGCGTGCGTGCGTGCGTGCGTGCGTGCGTGCGTGCGTGCAGACATTCATACAGTGTGTGCTCATGCATGACTGCATGTTTGGGTCAGCAAGGAGCTTTTTGTTAGTGTGTGTGTGTGTGTGTGTGGGTGTGTGTGGGTGCGCACGTATACACTCATGTTAGCAGTCTGTACAGGTATATTGTCACTGTATGTGTGTGTGTCTGTGTGTAGGGTTTATTGTTCACAGAAGGCTGGATTTCTAGGAATTCTCTTCAGTACAATGATTTGCTGCTGTAACGTCAGGGCCACACACACACACATACATACATATATATGTACAGTATATATCTATATATATATATAAGGTTCAGAAGTGAGGGAGGGGGACCATGAAGTTGCAGTATATAAATATACTAGTACAGTATGTAGTATTTATATATGCCATTTCCTGAATTTACATACATTTCTATCATCCAGCAAGAATTATGGTGAAATTGTTTAGCATACTTTTCATAATGGCAATATAAAGTCATATGAGATTTTATTTTCTCTTTCAAATAATACCCGGGCTATAATTTTTGAGAGATATGGGAACATAAAAGCTGTGTAATTGAAAGGGGAATTGGACTGTGGACAAGAAGACGAGGCTCCAGCCAGCTGCATGTGCCTGTGAAATGTGCAAGATGTGGCAATATTATAGGCTGTAAACACGACAGTGTTGGACACAGCTGATAGAATACTTTCACACAGTCGATCGAATCACTATTTAAATTTTTATATAGGCGGGCTTTATTTTTAAGCCACATAAGAGGATTGCCAAGGTTTACTTACAGTTTAAAAAACATATTTGTAAACATCAACATGTCTTTTACTTAATTTTGCCATCATATGTTTGTATAGATTTTTTGTGTGTGTGTATTCACATGAAACCTGCATAAAACACATTGAAAGTGGTGATGTTATCTTTATCACTGTTTAATGTCTCAATACAACACATCCTCATAAATATGTTATATATTAAAATATATTATTTTACTATTTGGCCATAAGGTGAAGCCGTTTTTCATTTAATCCTGCACTAAATAAGTTTGAATTCATTAAGAAAGACCTATTTGTTTTAAGCGAGGGAAAAAGGTAGTTCTTACCATAAGTGATGAGGCTTCGCGGATCGATCGTCACTTCCTTCCCACCTGGACCAATCAGGTGGCCGCATTTTTAATCAACAGGTGAAGAAGAATTCAAAATGGCCGTGCCCTCGTCTTTCGTGTCCGGCAGCGTGGAGGACAACATGACGACCAAACTTTCTCCAAAAGTGCGATTAAAATGAGGTTTTAAACGATGGTTTATGCCTCCAACGTCCATAAAGAAAGAAGAGGTGAAAGATTTAACTCACAGAGGGAGGAAAACATTCAGAAACACCGTCTGTCTCAAACAACAGGTGAGTAAAGAGAAATGTTTGGCGGGAAATGTTAAGTGTTTTTTTTAAACGCTGGGTACATTTAAAGTACAATACCATCATTTATTTAATATTTATTGTACAGTCAGATATTTATTTTTAAGTTAGATTCAGGATTAAGTTGAAGAGGAGGTGGTTGTTTTTGTCTGAGGTTGATAGAGGCGGGTAGACATTATTGATCAGGCCTCTAATGGCTACCTTGGTCTAACTGCTTGACAGTGTTGGGTACTCTTTTGATTAATTTCAACCATCTTGGACGTGTTTTCCTCTAATTACACAGTGGCTATAGAAAATGTTGATCTATAACTCATCAGTCCTTTGCAAAGTGTTCCATGGTCATGTTTAATTTAGCTTAAAGTGTATTTTCTATACATATTTAATGGTCTTGAGTATCCTAATGCATCAGTCTTTCTCAGGTTTGTAGGTAGATATGATGTACTGAGTAGAAATGGCTTTACACAGGTGATTGAGAAGAATACTGCAGATTAGCGCTGTTGAAAAGGGGGATTTAGTTTAATTTAGTTAATTCAAGGGTGTTATTTCCATGTGTGTCCCCCTCACTGGTTGATTTTCTGGCTGACATCTCTCTGAACAGTGGCCCCTCATTGTCTAAACACCAAGTTGAGTCCAGATGAGAGAAGAGAGGAGTTAATTAAATTGCTATCTGTTATTACCATGCCAAAGCAATAAGCTTAAGGAGCTGCAGGAGGTGGCAGTGGGTTTCCTACAGACTTATTTGCCCTGGGTTTTGCCTCTCAGGCTACAGATGGCTCACCCTTCCTTATTAGTAAAGGTTGTAGAGTCTGATAAGAATACAAGAGACACTATTATATCAAGCAACCTTGTTTGGTTAAACAGAATTTTTTATCTATAGTCAATATTGTAGTTTTGTGATGTTACCAGCCTTGTGTAAAGCAGTGGTTCCCAACCTTTGTCTTTAAGGGATTTGTTTTCTATCATTAAGTAAACTGACTGCTTAGGTGACACTTTTTATGTACGTTTTTAACATTATGCTCAAAATTGTACAATGGACCCACATAGTGAAATTAGTAACAGAGAGCATTTACATTTACTTTTTAGAGTAGTCATATGTTCGGATTCAGCAGCTGCGTTACAAAATATTCAGTCAGGACAAACTGCTAGAGATGAGTTAGTATTGGAAATACGTATGTATGTATCAATGTTCACTTCTGTTCGATACCAGTTCATGTAGTAATGTGCCGATTGATGCTTGTAGAAGGTTGAGTATGGTGGACGTGGGGGGAAAGTCTGTTGGAGATGGTGAATAAACAAAATCGGGTTAAATTGAGTTTATTAAAATACTTGAAACAGGTTTAATTTCCCTATAAAGTCATGATGTTACATTCTGGTACAGTGGGTGGCGGCATGCATCTCTAATGTTGTTTTGTACCCATCAGCCAACCAAAGAGGGAGAAGTTGATCCAAGATGGTGGAGAGTCTGGCAGAACAAAGGCAGAAGGTAGGCCACTTTCTTTGTTCACTTCAAGTGTGTGTGTGTGTGTGTGTGTGTGCAGAAAACTTGGAAAAGATATACTTCCTTTTATCACAATTAAACTGCTGCAGCTGTATTGTAACTTCTAAAACAGCACATGTTTGTGTATCCGTTCAAAAAGAACAACCAAATATCTGACTTTTATGAATCTCAAGCTTGTAGAGTTAAGGTTTAATTTAAGATGACTAAAGTATTATTTATCCCTGTCTGCCAGCAGCCTGGTGTTGACTTTTCTGCTCTTTCAGTTTTATTCTTTACTTTCACAGACTTTCCTTTTTCAGAGAGTTTGTTCACAAAGCCAGACATAAGTCATAACGCTGCAAAGTTTGCCTGATTTTCTCCCCATCCAAGGTCGAAGTGATATTTATTTTTTCAAATCTTAATCTCGTCTGCAAGGTAAATAGAAACTGTACAGTATGTGTGCTTCAATTATGTTAATGGAGTCTGTCTCCTGTTTTAATAGCGCATAGTCAAAATGTGATTCTGCACTTAATGCCAATTAAAGACACATTAGTTTCTTATCATTTTTTTTTTTCTGATAAGGAAGTAGAAAAATTGGGATAAGAGAAAATTGGGTGAGATAGGCCTCCTGCCTGTCACTGCCAAACCTCTGCCAGCTGCCCAAATTCACGATGTGGTGATATGATCCTTCGGCAGGGTAATGGGGGGGGAATTGGGCTGGGGTCATTATCGGTTCTCGCTCCCTCAACCATCAGATTTTACTTCCCCGGCAGCAGGAACAGCAGGATACCGCGGCAAAAGCATGTATCCTTGACTTTTATTAAAGATGATGCCATTAGCTGGTTTCAGGGATGTGAAATGGATTTGGTCAGTAATAGATTACTGATGCTCATTTCCAATATGAAAAAGAGTCCAAGTGAATGTGTATCCAGATGATTTATGAGGGAAGTGAGTGACAGCGACCTCCTTTTGTCAGAATCTAGAAGGATCAAATCATTAGTCACGCAGCACTGAGTCGAGATCACTGACAGTATCGTATGAATGCAGCCAGATATTAATTCATCAGCTGCAATAAGACCCGCTCAGCAGAACAGAAATAAGACTTTAATAGTGCTTTACACGGAAAGAACACTCTGTAACTTGTGTTTGAAATACTGTAAAATTTGTTGTAATATCAGGTTTAGTTTTTGTAAATTCCTGTATTCACTCGTCTGACATCACTACAGAGACCTTTTTCCACTGTCCCAGACTAAAGGATAGGGCTGTGTCTGTCAGAGTAATCCAACATTTCATTGACACGTGTGAACAGTTAGCATATTATTGATATTCGATTATCTTCCTCACAATCATTTACCTCGCTTTTTAATAATGCATGACCAAGGTGATCTGTAGACAATAGTTTGTATTCACGTCTTCAAAGTTTACACCTTAAATAATAGTCCAAACTTTAAAAATAATTAATTTTGTTGTCCCATAGTGGAGGATTAATAAGGATAAAAAAATTATCTTTCTGCTATTTAGGTTAATCTAATTTTAATTTTATTTTCTAGCTTCTGAAGATATATGTGGCTATATATTAGTATTGGCATCATGCAATTCTTTCTACATGTTTAAAAGCTTTGAATTATATAGTACAGCTGGATAATGTCCTATCTGGCTCCATGTCTGTACTAATCACCTGCACTCTCTCTCCTGCCTCCAGGGGGTGCTGGTGAGTTGGAGACACAGACGCCACCACAGAAACACTGCAGTCTTTCCAGTCGCCACTTCCAGACAGAGTGAGTGAAACTGTTATTTCTGTCCTTTCAGCTGGACAGTGTTCATATTATATTAGACATTACTAATATTAGTAGTGTGTAATAGAGTAGTTTGGAGCAAACATCAGAGCTTCTAAAGAGTAACATAAAAAACAGTGTTTGTACTGTTTACCCATTATAGTAGAACAGTAGATTCTAATGCAATTCACCTGCATGTGTAAAACTCAGATAAAATATTAAAGGGGATATATTATGCAAAATGCACTTTTTTCATGTTTGTACACACACTTGGATATTTGAATGGCCTACCAACCCAGAAACACTCGCCTTTCTATGTAAGAATCTGATTAATTTGAGTAGTACCGCCTCCCCACGGAGAAGAACTGCCTTTGCTGCTCTCCGCCATGTTTGCCCTGCCAGCCCTGGCTGATGTTTGCTGCACGGACCAGCACAGCAGTCTGCATGTCCTCCAATCATCAGAGGAAGATGTATATTTTATTTCTGATAACTATTTATTTTGTAATGTTTCCACAAGGACCGCAACTGCTTTCTCAAAGGAGGACCAGCTCATGGACGAGACGGACTGTCTGTGACCCAACTTCACACTTTGAAGCTGTAAGTTTTGACTTCCTTGTTCTGTATTTATGAGTTTTTCATTCTTCATCAGTAACTGTATTATATACTGTCTTACAAGTAACAGTGAATCTGCCATGTTTACAGGTGATCTGAGTGACCTGATGAAGCTCAGGTGTTCCTGGACCCATCAGAGGACAGTGACAGCTGCAGCATCAGGACAGTCTGTGTATCCAAAGGAAGACTCATCAGGATGAACACTGACCGCAGAGCTCCATTACCAGCTCACACTGCAGTATACTAGAAACCTTGATGGAGGACAGGATCTGCACAGCTCACATTAAAGTTAGAGCTTTGTTACTTGCACTATACACACACTTTATATTTCTGTGTAACTGTAAATTTGAATGAAACATGAATAAAGTGTTTTATTTTTAAGGAGACTTTTGGTCATTTTTAAATTCAGTAATAAGTATGGGTTTATATAAATAACATGTTATTTCAGAGGTTTTATAAAAAACGTATTTAATTTCCTGCATGTAGAACGGTTGAAATCCTGCTCCATGTAATCTCTGACAATGGAAATAGATTTACTAGTAACTCTGTAGTAAATGTAAGCAACACCACACATTTCTGTTTCACAGTCAAACTTTATTATGACAGATACATTTCATAATATAAATGATACAATATTCAGTGTATATATATAGTATTTAAAAGGGCTTAAAACACAACTGTAGCTTTTACAAATATCTGAAGGTTAACTTTGGTAACAACTGTCTGACAAATGTTTCAAGTTAAAATATCAGACTTACTATGAAATATGGATGCAGTACAGTTTACAGTTGGTTACTGAGCAGTTTAACTACATGAGCAAGTTACTGTTATAAAGTTTTCCAGGCAGGTTTAAACTAATGTGTATAAAGAATATAACAGATGGGAGGTTACAGTAATCATTATACTATGACTGTGATTACTTTGGTACATTTATTGGCTGGTTCATTCAGTCTGTTTCATATGGTAATATCCAGTTAATTACAGTTTACATTACCTACTATGCTACATGCACATACTAATGCATTACCTCTTTAGCTCCTCGCAACAAATATGCTTTACTTCACTGGGCTCTGGAGACTGTAGGTCACTGCTCACTACTGTACCTGTAAAGACAAGCAGAAAGTTTTTGGGACGGGGGGTGCCTTAAAGAGACAGGAGCTCAAACAATGTTTCCAACAGAGGTGCTTCAGCTACAGGCAGTCTGAGAAAAATTATGTGTTTCTTGATCATTTAAAACCTTTTTCTGAATTATATAGAGTACAGCTGGATAATGTCCTATCTGGCTCCATGTCTGTACTAATCACCTGCACTCTCTCTCTTGCCTCCAGGGGGTGCTGGTGAGTCGTGGGACAGGACGAAACACTTCAGTCTTTCCAGTCGCCACTTCCAGAGAGAGTGAGTGAAACTGTGTTATTTCATTTTTTATTGAAAATCCAAACATCAGAGCTTCTAGAGAATAATGTAAAAAACAGTGTTTGTACTGTTTACCCATTATAGTAGCACAGTAGATCCAAATGCAATTCACCTGCATGTGTAAAACTCTCAGAAGATATTAAGTAAACAGAATGAATATTAAATTAATTAAATGAATATTAATTCTACGTTAATAATCAATAAATAATGCCACTCTGTTCATCAATGAAATAAGTGAAAATTCATGTCAAGAGTTATTGTATCGTCTTAAAATAGTATACTTGTGTCTAATATAATATAATAAGTAGTGTCTAATATAATATACTTGTGTCTAATATAATATACTTGTGTCTAATATAGTACAGTTGTCTAATATAATATAGTAGTGTCTAATATGATATAATATAGTAGTGTCTAATATAATGTACACTACTCTCAAAAAGTTAGGGGTATTCCACTTTCGGGTGAAATTTATGGAAAATGTAAAAAGTTGATGCTACAGTGATATTATATCATGAAAGTAGGGCATTTAAGTAGAAGGTCAAATTAAGATCACCTGGAAAGGTTATAGTGCATTTTATGTACATTCTGAAATTTCATCCGAAAGCCGAATATCCCTAACTTTTTGTGAGTAGTGTAGTAGTGTATATAGTAGAATCTGCGGTGAACCTGGATATTTTGTTTGGCTTATGGGTGATTAGATTTTCTTTGTAATATAGACCACACAATTAATTTACGTTGCTGAAGCAAGTGCATCGTTCATTTTTAATGAAAATCCAAAAATAATAGCGCAACAAGAAGTCAATTAACAGCTGTGTAGGTAAGGATTCAATAAAATCATTTTTCTATCCATAACCCCCTGCTTCTCTCTCTCACTCTCTCCAGAACCTCGAGAGGTGACAGTCTCCTCTCCACCCTCTGCAGCGGGCTGTGGCACGAGGACACTTCTGCCTTCTGGTCACCACCATCCACACCGAAGCTCCTTTCACATAAGAACCTTCTCTTTCTCAACGCTTTTACTTCCTCACTTCACTCCAAAACGTATCTAACTTCAAAGAAAGAAGGTAGCACAATTAAATTAAATAAAGAACTTAGGCATTCTCTACTATATATTATAGTATAGTAGTAGTGTCTAATATAGTAGTCTAATAACGTACTGTCTAATATAGTAGTGTCTAATGTAGTACTGTCTAATGTAGTACTGTCTAATATAGTAGTGTCTAATGTCTAATATAGTAGTGTCTAATATAGTAGCATCTAATATAGTACTGTCTAATTAGTAGTGTCTAATATAATTATGTCTAATATAGTAGTGTCCAATATAGTAGTTTCTAAAATAGTAGTGTCTAATATAGTTGTTTGTAATATAGAAGTGTCTAATATAGTCTAATATAGTAGTGTCCAATATAGTAGTTTCTAATATAGTAGTTTCTAGTCTAATATAGTAGTTTCTAGTCTAACATAGTACTGTCTAATATAGTAGTTTCTAGTCTAACATAGTAGTGTCTAATATAGTAGTTTCTAGTCTAATATAGTAGTGTCTAATATAGTAGTTTCTAGTCTAATATAGTAGTGTCTAATATAGTAGTTTCTAGTCTAATATAGTAGTGTCTAATATAGTAGTTTCTAGTCTAATATAGTAGTGTCTAATATAGTAGTTTCTAGTCTAATATAGTAGTGTCTAATATAGTCTAATATAGTAGTGTCTAATATAGTAGTTTCTAGTCTAATATAGTAGTTTCTAGTCTAATGTAGTAGTATCTAATAAAGTAGTGTCTAATATAGTAGCATCTAATATAGTACTGTCTAATTAGTAGTGTCTAATATAATTATGTCTAATATAGTAGTTTCTAATATAGTAGTGTCTAATATAGTCTAATATAGTAGTGTCTAATATAGTAGTTTCGAGTCTAATATAGTAGTGTCTAGTCTAATATAGTAGTTTCTAGTCTAATACAGTAGTGTCTAATGTAGTAGTGTCTAATGTAGTAGTGTCTAATATAGTCTGATATAGTAGTGTCTAATATAGTAGTGTCTAATATAGTAGTGTCTAATATAGTAGTTTCTAGTCTAATATAGTAGTTTCTAGTCTAATATAGTAGTGTCTAATATAGTAGTTTCTAGTCTAATATAGTAGTGTCTAATATAGTAGTGTCTAATATAGTAGTTTCTACTCTAATATAGTAGTTTCTAGTCTAATATAATATACTTGTCTAATATAGTCTAATATAGTAGTTTCTAGTCTAATATAGTACTGTCTAATATAGTAGTGTCTAATATAGTCTAATATAGTACTGTCTAATATAGTCTAATATAGTAGTGTCTAATATAGTCTAATATAGTAGTGTCTAATATAGTAGTGTCTAATATAGTAGTTTCTAGTCTAATATAGTACTGTCTAATATAGTAGTGTGTAATATAGTCTAATATAGTTGTGTCTAATATAGTAGTTTCTAGTCTAATATAGTAGTGTCTAATATAGTAGTTTCTCGTCTAATATAGTAGTTTCTAGTCTAATATAGTAGTGTCTAATGTAGTAGTTTCTAGTCTAATATAGTCTAATATAGTAGTTTCTAGTCTAATATAGTAGTTTCTAATATAGTAGTTTCTAGTCTAATATAGTAGTTTCTAGTCTAATAGTGTCTAATATAGTAGTGTCTAATGTAGTAGTGTCTAATGTCTAATATAGTAGTGTAATATAGTAGTTTCTAGTCTAATATAGTAGTGTCTAATATAGTAGCATCTAATATAGTACTGTCTAATTAGTAGTGTCTAATATAATTATGTCTAATATAGTAGTGTCCAATATAGTAGTTTCTAATATAGTAGTTTCTAGTCTAATATAGTCTAATATAGTAGTTTCTAGTCTAACATAGTAGTGTCTAATATAGTAGTTTCTAGTCTAACATAGTAGTGTCTAATATAGTAGTGTCTAATATAGTAGTTTCTAGTCTAACATAGTAGTGTCTAATATAGTAGTTTCTAGTCTAATATAGTAGTGTCTAATATAGTAGTTTCTAGTCTAATATAGTAGTGTCTAATATAGTAGTGTCTAATATAGTAGTTTCTAGTCTAATATAGTAGTGTCTAATATAGTAGTTTCTAGTCTAATATAGTAGTGTCTAATATAGTAGTTTCTAGTCTAATATAGTAGTTTCTAGTCTAATATAGTAGTTTCTAGTCTAATAGTGTCTAATATAGTAGTTTCTAGTCTAATATAGTAGTGTCTAATGTAGTAGTTTCTAGTCTAATATAGTAGTTTCTAGTCTGATATAGTCTAATATAGTAGTTTCTAGTCTAATATAGTAGTTTCTAGTCTAATATAGTAGTGTCTAATATAGTAGTTTCTAGTCTAATATAGTCTAATATAGTAGTTTCTAGTCTAATATAGTAGTTTCTAGTCTGATATAGTCTAATATAGTAGTTTCTAGTCTAATATAGTAGTTTCTAGTCTAATATAGTAGTGTCTAATATAGTAGTTTCTAGTCTAATATAGTCTAATATAGTAGTGTCTAATATAGTAGTTTCTAGTCTGATATAGTCTAATATAGTAGTTTCTAGTCTAATATAGTAGTGTCTAATGTAGTAGTTTCTAGTCTAATATAGTAGTTTCTAGTCTAATATAGTCTAATATAGTAGTTTCTAGTCTAATATAGTAGTTTCTAGTCTAATATAGTCTAATATAGTAGTTTCTAGTCTAATATAGTAGTTTCTAGTCTAATATAGTAGTGTCTAATATAGTAGTTTCTAGTCTAATATAGTAGTTTCTAGTCTAATATAGTAGTGTCTAATATAGTAGTTTCTAGTCTAATATAGTAGTGTCTAATATAGTAGTTTCTAGT